TAGAAGACGATTGAACTTGCTGGTTCATGGTTTTATTTATACGTGTAAATTATTAAATAATAAATTTCTGGTTTTCAAAAAGACAACTGCATGTCAATGATAATTAAAATCAAATGTGACAGGACAAGAAGTGTTTAACCGGTTATATAGTAAAGAATAAAATACGTAGGCGTGAAACACAGCCAATGGTGTCATTTTTATCATAAAATGCATAAGAAAGTGATCGTTACTGTACGGTGGTACCTTTGATGTTGGAAATATGCTTACCTAAGTGTCTGGTAGTCGATGACAAAATTCTTAGAAATTATTTGTACATTCGATGCTAGAAATATGCTTACCTAAGCGTCTGGTTTACGTTGGGTTTCGTCCTCTCCCTCCCCCACCATTAGGTTAGTTTACGTAAGGTTTCATCGTTCTCCCCCACCATTGCATTAGGTTAGTTTAGGTTGGATTTAATCCCCCCGTACACTTCATCCACCCCATTGAAGGTGAGTGGGCGAGGCGGGGAGCAGCTCTTTCCATTTTACCCTACTAATAATATAATATTTTTAATAGCTACAACGTATATAAAAATACAGACGACTCAAATATGGAGTATATTATTGGATGAAACTTATTCACAGGTGAATAAGTTTACATAGTTGCCGACGTTGTCGCGGTGCTAAACCCCCTGAACTGTCCTAACTACCGACCGCCGGACAAGTTGAACATAGTGTTATCATCAACACTGACGAGTGCAACGGTGGATAGCTGATAATTAGGAAATTGTCTAGGAAGCAGATGATGGTGTTTGATTGAGGAAAGTCTCAATGTCCTCATTGAGATGATCAGAGGTTAGAATTAGCTCTTCTTCTACTGGACCCTCTATATCTGTTGGATACACATCGGTCAAATGTGCTGTTGAGAATTTGTATAGTGATTATTTAGGCTATGATTGTACTACACCGAGTTGTTGTCGGTCTTCTTTCTATGTCTGCATTGTCGCCACCATCTTAGCGCATTTTAGCTATAAGCTATGGCACTTGCGAGCCAGTAGTTTTGTATTCGTTTTGTTGTAAAAGTAAAATATCACCTTTGCGATTGCCGCACCCTAGTGCGGTCAGTAAATTGCTGTTGGGGGTTATATCTTTTCTAAGATACCGTTCACAGCATATTGTATTCACTGGTCAGCTACTTGCATACAACTTTAATTGATCCTTTCAATGTTCAACATTATCATCAGCCATTTCAATTAGCCCATAAGTATAATGCTTGTTCATCTTTTATTTAAGACTTACTCACATCTATAATTTATTATTTGTTTGTATCAGCGCCATTGTGTCATTAGTAATTAGTGTCCCTCCTATCCACATTGGTGTATATAAGATTTTATGATTCATGTATAATACATTTAATTGTTATATGTTTTAAAAATTCATTCTACATTCATTCATACAGTCCACTCATCTTATTCCTTTTCTTCGACATAGCCTGATTTAAGACAAAATAAAACAACGAACGTTAATTAACCCGCGTGAATACCACCGGGCGCTGCGTTCATTCAATATCTATCGGAATGTCTTCCGTGATGACGCTAGAAACTTTCGATGGTGGTTTGGATAAGGTATAGGTGTTGTTGTCCGTTTTTTTTACTTTTTTCAAATCAGCATTGCTGAGAAGAGGGAACAAACTGGGCCCTCAATTCCTTCGCTAGGCGTTTCTTGCTCCTTCTTCTTTTCATTGCGGTATTAAACCATTCGATGCTTCTTTTTCTCCTAGTATGTCAGTCCAGTGGTTGATTAAACTGTCAAGATGGACGATCTGCAAATGGTCTGTTCGTATTATAGTTTGGATTGACATTGATATCATTAATTGGTGCTTTCGACCTGATCCAAAAACTCGCGTGGGTCCTCCTCATATTTTCCCGTAAACTCGGGGGAAGGGGGTCGTACAATAGGCGAATAATTAAATAGCCCGCTCGCCATGTGCGTGTGCGAACGGGTTGATGAAGACTGAGAAAAATCGCGTGTCGGTGACGCGAACGTGTTCGGCTCGAAATGACCCGTGTGGTGTGGGCGCGCGTCGAAATTGAAAACCGCGTCGCACAGTGGGACCAAACGATAATTTAGCCGGCCAAAAGTACCATTTTTAAATCAACTAATAAAAATTTTTTTTTTATCAAATTTTTTTTATTATATCCTTATAAGGTCATGTACAAAAATTCAAGGCCAAAAATTGATATAGTAATGGTTGGGTGCTATTTAAATATCATAACACTGTATTTTTTTGTTATTTTTCTAGGATTTTTATTATTTCTTCAATCATTTTTTCCTGCTTAATTAAAAACCTAAATTTTTTTTTTTTTAATTTAAAATGTTTAAAAAGTCATCGGCTTTCAAATTTACTAAGAAAAAATTTTTATTTCTTTTTTTTTTTAATTTTAATAATTTTTTACACACAAAAAAATGCAAATACTTATTTTACATTGTTTTTTAAAGAGTTTAACTCAAAATTACGCAATATTACGATTACACCAATACATGCATGTTGTAGAAGAACTCTTAAGCTACAATTACAAAAAAAAAAATTTTGCGTCAGATTGCATTTGAGCCCTGCACATAGAATTTCCCTATAATAAACGTGTATTTTTGTAAAAATTGTAATTTTAATCATTTCATTGGTTTTATCAGTTCGATCAACTTTATCAGCTTAAAAGTTGTAAAAATTAGATGTAATTAAAACTAATGATCCGTTAAAATTAAGTTTAAATAAAGTTTTTAATAATACACATAAAATAAAATACTATTATTACCAAAGCATTTTTCTGTTTAATCAAATTGTGTTACATGTTACGCCATACGCGCTATTTCAGTCGTCCTTTACAGTACAGCGGCGGCTTGGTGGGGGGTATTTGACACGGCCACGGTGTTGTCACCCGTTTGACACCCCGCGGTCATATCAGCTCCTTCTCAGCCACCGCTCCACTGTAAACCGGACCGTTACACACACGCGTTATCGTCGTGGTGTAAAGTCCAATAAATGCCTAGCGTCGAATACCCGTCGCAATAATACGTCCAATCAGTCATCTTCGTGACACCGATATCAATTTTTATTCCCGTCAGCTTAACGGAACAAAACACGCAGCTGCGAACATTTATCTGCTTCCGCACATATATAATTGATTTTATTTACATATTCTTTGCTTCCGGATTATATTTCTTTTATGTCAATACTAAGTTAGAAACAGTTAATAATCGGCACAACGTCTTTTAAACCCTAAAGTGTTGTATTTTCTTTTTTTTATTCATCTTCACGCGAGTTCGGTGTAATACCTACATTGTCAGTGTTATATAAATGAACTTTAATAATTAAATGTATGTACATTAATTAAGTTTATGTTAATAAATTCATGTTTAAAATATTTTTTCTATTTATTAATACAATGAGAAAATTTAACTAATCTTTAACATTACAATTGTCATCATGTATGTACTTAAATTATTAATTTTGAGCTATATAATGTGTAGTAAATTTTCTTGTGTTGTTTCAATAAAAGTTTTTAATATTAAATATTGTAATTCAACATCTAATTTTTCATTTTCTATTAGAATAGATCAAAAAATTTTTTATTTGCTAAAAATTATTTAGGGGGACTGGGGGAACTATTGTCAGTGGGTATTACCAGTAACCTCATTAACTAATAAACCCATGAATCTAAAAATATGTTGACCATATGTATAGATTAAGAATGATAAAAAAAATTTTATTTGAACAATATTATCAAAAAACTTTTTTACGTTTAAACGTGAAAATAGTTTTCAGCGTTTATTTATCTAAAATTTTTTTAAAAATATCGAGTGACTAGTGTTAAAAGAATCACTGTATACTAAAAAAATTAAATTTTGCAAATAAATAAGACATACAATATTCAGTATTAAAATAATTTTAATAATATCACTTTACATGTTGTATGGCAAATAATCGTGTTATAATTATTATAAAAATGTGTTATAATAACTATATTTTAAAATTTGAAATCTAATTTTAAAACTTCTGAAATAATTTGTCATAATATGTTATTACTTAAGAATTTACTTAATTATATTATTTATTTTATTTTGTAACCAAGTGTGTATGTTGCCATTTAAAACATTAAATTAAAATTATATAAGTTATAGTAGATATATTAAGATTAATTTTAAATTAAAAATATATAAAACTAAAAAGTACTAAAAATAATTTTTGTAATATAATTATTATTTTTAAAAAAATCGAGTGATTAGTATGAAAAGAATCACTTTGTATACTGTATACTAAAAAATTTTTAATTTTGCAAATAGGCAAGACATTATACAATATTTAGTATTAATATAATTTTAATAATATCACTTTACATGTTGTATGGCAAATAATCGATCATATAGAACGGTTTACCAGTTTGAATTTTAAGGGTATCATTTGTATCAGGTTCTTCTTTTAATATCTCCTTTAAATTATATTCTGTAATATAATCGCTCTTAAAAAATCCTATGTCAATTTTATTGCAGTCATTCCTACTAGCATTGTCTATTTCAAAATGTGTTTCAGTACCACAAATAAGATCTAAAATAAATAAAATAATGGTTTAAAAAATACTTCTTTTGAAATAATTGTTTTGGTTTATAAAATAAAGAGATTTCTAAATATAAATTTTAATTTATTTATAAAATTATTATATTTGTAGGTCAATTATAAACAAAAGATTAAATTAATACATAAGCATAATTAAAATTAAATAAGTTATAATTTATTGAAATTGTTTTTTTAAGATTGATGTTAAATATGATGAATATCAGAGAGTTTTCATATTTTTAAAAATAAATCAATAATCACATGGGATTGTATTCGATTAATGTAATTAATATTTAAAAAATCCACTAATCACATTAAGTAAGTATTTGTAGAAAAAGTCTAATAATAAATTGTAAAATAAGTTTTATATTCTCTTTATATAAACCATTAAAATTTTTTAACAATTCTAGAAATAATGTAAATAAGAATTATAACAATAAAAAAAACTCAGCACAATTGGGTCGCAGCATAGTGGAGACGTTGCATAGTTGGGTCCAGTATAGATTTAATCTGACAGTGATTAAAATCACTATCATAAGAAACGCTTCGATGCAAATCTGTAGATAGTGTTTAATTCTAAGAAATTGGTAATACACGTGAAACTAATATGAGCGTGTTAATAAAGAATATTACACATTTACACTTACTCGAAATTTTAGAATCAATTAAATGATTATAAGATGAAACTTTGAAATTCGGAATTTGACAAATTTTTATTATTAATTTAAGATAACTATTCCATTTTTTCAAATCTTTCATATATACATCAACTTTGTGCATGATTTTTTCTAATTGATTTTGAATTTCATTGGCATTATTTTCATTAATTATTTCATTTCTTAGAACAATATAAGGTGTAAAGTAAAATCTGTTTTTGAGAAAAAAATTCATAAGTAATGTAATTATTATATTACTAGATTCTATATTCATATTGGACAACTCTGTATTTCTAGTATAATTGTTTAAGCTATAAACAAATTCATTAATGATTTTTATCAGAAATGATGTCCGTTTCTTATTGAACAAGCCGAGATAAATGAATTTTCTTATATAATTTAATATTATTTCACCAGTTTTACTTAATGTCGATTTGAAACGAATAGGTACACTATCCGAATTCTCTGAAGATGCAACTATAATTAAGGTAAAAAAGTTGCGTATAAGAATAGCTATTGGTTGAAACGTAGCCAAAATTACCATGTTTATGTATTCTAAAACATCTTTAGAATTAAAATCATATTTCATATACTCAAATACATCTTGTATAGTTAAACGAGTACCGTCAGAGCATTGGACATTAAGTGGAGTGAATCGCAGTAAATTTAATTCTATGTGTTTACTATTATCTATTTTTATATTATTTTTGTTGCTGATAATCTGTTGAGTCATTATTTCGTAAAACAAAAAATTTTTCGGATGAAAATTTTTGTATGAATTTTTTTCTACTGATAAATGAAACTCTTTCAGTATTTTATCTTTGAGATGATTATTTATATTAATTAGATTAATTGTAGTACATTCATTTATACCGATTGGAGTATTGCAACTAACCATATAATCAAAAAATCGTGTATTCTCACAATTATTACTAATGAAATGCTTTAATTGATTTTTAACTGCGAAATGAATAATGTTATAGCCTTCTAATAATTTTGTAGCATCATTTTTTTCACTATCTTCGGTTAGAGAAATCATATTTAAAGAGCCAGAAACGTTATTTAAGTACATATTTAGCGCGATCAATGCAAAAGGAAACTTATATTCCCTATTGTTTATCATATCATCCAAAAATAACATAATCACATTACTGTGCGTTTGAAGTGCCTTGCCATAGTTCATAAGATTTTGGATTGTGATATAATCTTTATTTTTTTTAAATTCTAACAAAAATCTTTCATTATGGTTAAAAAAGTTTAGAAAATAACGACTATAGGAGCACTGTAAAAAGTTTGCATAACTTAATCTTACTTTTATGGACATTATTAACACGAAGAATAAAAAAATTTTCATTTTGCTTCTTAATTATATTAAATTTATAAATTTCAAATTAAAAAAAATTGCGATATTAATTGTAAATAAAATATTGAGTATTATTTATATGAATATTATAATAATTTTAATATTACAATATACCATATTTGATCAATTTGTCTTTGAAATATATTATTTATAGTTAAGTAATTACACTTATTGACTTTTTTGTTTAACTAACGTTATTTTTTCATTTATACAGCAAAAGTCCAATTATAATTATATTATATTTAAAATTATTTCTGTATTAAAATTTTATGGATTAATTATTTTAAAATATACAATATAATTACAAATTACTGTATTTTTCTACTGATTAATTATTTTAATCAATTCGCGGGTAAAGAAAATCTTGCACACGAGCAGTGTTTGGACGACCGGCACCGTCGTACACTAATATTTTACATTAGTATATTACCATATTGGGTAATTTATTTTTAGAATTAACTACATGTACACTCGTCGTTATCGTTTGTTATAATAGTATAATCACTATTATTTTCATTTCTATATTCAACTGTGACCTTTCAAATAATAATATGTATATTGTGTTTTATTTGACAATTTATTATAATTTATAATATTAATTATTCAGCATTACGTCGATAAATAGGTTTATGGCAAAGAATCGAGTAAAAAACTAACAAAATAAGACGGTTGATGTATAATTTAGTATTTTATCGTTTTTCTCTCCATACATTTTTTTAATAATTTGTCAATTTTAAAAATCAGTCGATGTTTTAATTCAATATATATGTTTAAGTAGAATACTTTCAAATAAATAGAACAATGACTTATTAAATGTTAAGTATTATTAAATTTGTTTTTAAAATAAAAAACCCAGCATAGTGGAGACGTTGCATATTTGGGTCCAGTAAAGATTTAATCTGAAAGTGATTAAAATCACTATCATAAGAAACGCTTCGATGCAAATCTGTAGATAGTGTTTAATTCTAAAAAATTGATGGATAATTGCAAAAGCAACATCAACTTCTATTAAAATNAAGCAACATCAACTTATATTTCCTTAATTATACCCAGATTAGTAATTCTTTTAATTATATATTTTATAATTTTTAAAATTAATTGTTTTCAAATTATTATTGATTTTTAATATGTTAAAAGTAATAATTTTTAACCTACATTTTTTTATGTTTTTAAGTGAAAGTTTATAATAAAAAAAAAAAATGAATTTATTACCATAACTTTTTAAGCTCAATTTGCAAGTTTGAAATTGACATCATTAAATATAAAAAATGGTATTTTAAGATTAATATGCCAGGAAAACCAGGAAATTTTATAATTTCTATTTACAGTAAATTTTTTATTTCATCCATTGTTAAATTCAAATAAAACTAAAAATTATTTTTTTTTAGATTTATGATATATAGCAACATGTTACAAAAAAATTTGGAATATTATAGACTGGTAGTAGCACACACAAATAGAGTTAAAAAATTAATAAATTACAAAGTAAAATTATTTACTTTTGTAGTTGAATACTTTTATCATATCAAATCTAATTCGACAATGAATACTTTAAGAATATTATAAATTAATGATTTTAATCGTTTGTATGGAAAAAACTGGTTAAGCTACTTTTTATTTGAATAAAGAAATTTTTTTCAATTTTTAAGGGTAATATCTTCAACTAAATACGAATTGTAATCATTTGACGTATCGTTGAAAAAAGTAGGTCTAGTGAGGGTTGACAAAATAAATCGTAGCCACATAAAAACACATTATAAAATAATATTAACATGAATGAGAAATTTCTTCTCACGAGGGGAGACTATGTGATGGGATCCTTGATATTTATTGAAGTTATTGAATCTAAATGAGATAAATATCAAATGATTTGAAAATTTTATTCTAACTCAAAAAAAAATGCAAAATATTAATTGCCACAGACGTATTCGAATCTCGTACCCTAAGCGTGAAAGACACAAGCGTTACCGATTTGGCAACTGTTCGTTGCTTCGTCACTTGATAAAATTGGCTATTTAAGCTAACTCAAATTTAAAAATTACTTTTTTGATTTTAAAAAAGTAAAAAAATTTAAATAAGTTTAATTTTTTATGTCTTATGAATTTTATTCTATGTCAATTAAATTATAAAATATTCATGAAAGTCAGTGTATTGCCCTTATAAGATATTTTAAAATAGAATAAAATACAAAACCCAGGATTTTAACACAAAAATAGCATATTTTTGAATACGGTAGCCATTTACGCATAGAAGATAGGTCTTCGGCACAAATTTTTTTTTTAAATTTTATAGTACATGACATTAGCTTTAATTTGACATGTGTTTAAAGGACGCAGTATTTCCGGAACATTTTCAAAAGTTAAGTTGTAAAAGTTAGTTGTTGTAAAAAAGTTGCTATTTTAAATCCCCCTCAATGAACAGGTTAAGTGTTAGATTTTCAAAAAAATGATATCAAATGAAAGTGAACTATCTAAGGTTTTATTATAAAAAAAATTATGTTGATTTTTGAAAAAGTTATGGAAGTTTTAAGAAAAAAAAGACAAAATTTATCGATTTTTAAATTTGTAATTTTTTTGGATATTTCCCCCATTTGCGGGGAACGAGGGAAAATTTTTTAATTTTTAAGGGTAATGTCTTCAACTAGATACAATTTGTGATCTTTTGACGTATTGTTGAAAGAAATCGGTCCAGTGAGAACTGAGAAAAAGTGGCAACAGACATAAAAAAAAAAAAAACACATCATAGTAAAATTAATACCTTCTCAGCTTCGCATCGAAGCTAAAAAAAAATTAATTTCTGAAAAACTTATAAAATAACATATTTAAAAATATAAATATTACTAAATTTAATAATAATAGAATCATTATTTTTACAAATCTTCTTTTTTCTCGCCTTTATCCAAACTACTTGGGGTCGGCCACCCTTATCCTAAACTTCTACTTGACACGATCTCCCACATCATCTACGCTCACACCAGCTGTCCTCATATCGCATCCAATAACATCCCTACATATCTTTTTTGGTCTTCCTCTACTTCTTCTTCCTTAAACATTCATTTTCATAACTGTTCTTACAGCTTCCGATTCCTTTCACCTCATAACATCACCAAACTATCATTTAAGTTAATTTTCTGTTATCTTATCCAAGATTCACGCAACACCTTTACTTCCTCTTATATGTTCGTTTCTCATCTTATCATCTCCCGACTCATCCATCTAAGCATTCTAATTCCTCTACATTCATTCTTTTCTACTTTTTTGTCAACCGCCCAGCATTCTGGACCATACATCATAGCTGGTCTCACTCGTCTTATAGAACTCTATATACTTTGTCTTACTCATACTTATTCTTAATTCCTTTCTTTAAATAACTAATCTGTACACCTTTAGCTTTTAATTAATTTCAATAAATTAATTATATAGTCTTTTTGATTACAATGTTTAATAATAATTGAACAAATGTAAAAAATTTGTTCATAATATTATTTCGATTATAAAATAAACAACAATAAACTTTTCACAATTTCACTTTTTTTTCTAAAAATTATCCCTCGGGTATTCAAAATAGAAACATTGTATAAAAAATAGAACTTTTTCAATTAAACTTTTGAAAATGTTTCGGAAATACTGCGTCCTTTAAACTAGTGCTGAGCACCACATCTGGATCAATCCGTATCCGGATTATCGATCCGGATTGAAACAAATGTGACAATCCGTTCAATCCGGATTAAAGTATCTAATCCGGTTTAATGTAAACAAATCTTCATGGGTTATTCTATTATAGCGAGAATTGTTATTGTTCAGAAGTGCTATTAATAAATATCGTGTTGTGCTTTACGTGATATCACATATCACGTAGATATCAATTGTACTTTTATCAATATTTAATAGCAGGCAAAAGGCATTACGTTAGTAGTACTGTCTTAGTACGTATCGTATTAAAAAATGTCTCAAAGTTGGGCGAGTTTTACGAAAGGCGTTGATGAAGAGAACAAACATTTAGTTTTTTGCAATGCTTGTGGAAAAAGTTTCAAAACTTCAGGGAGTACAGGTAAATTACAATAACATAATAATATGTAATAGGTGTAATAAAAATGAAAAGATTTTATTCTAGAAATCTAAAACAATAACTTAAATATCTATAATATACGATTTTTATCCATTTTATTTAATAATTACGAGTATTAATTATCATTTACCCGTATTTTTAAGTAAATTATTTATTGTTTATTGCTTTTCAATGATTAATGTTGACATTTTTTTAAACTCTTTAACTTGATTACCTAACACAAAAAATATATTTGTTTTGAAAAATTCTTATATTAACTTTTTTAAATTAAAATTTTTTTATTAACTCAAAATACAAAACAAAAAACCTAAAAAATATTATTGGTGAAATTTTTTTTTTAGACCACCCGTTCTTAACTTACGGGCAGTATTAAAGAGGCGCGTGACGTCACGGATTCCATTACCGAGGCGGCGGCCATACAATTCTTATGGAGCGCTATATTTAATTTGTTATAACTATGGAAACATCAATATATCTTATTTTACTTATGAGGCATTTTGAAAGTAAAACATATTATGTTTTATTCAATATAATTTTCCCCGATTTTCGATTTTTTTAATTGTTAAAATAACTGATACTATAAGTTGATGTGAAAGGCATTGCGGTGTGTCCTAGAGGAAGAAGTTGTTCCTTTTTTATGAATAATTTTTTGTTAAAAAAATAACAAACTCATCTGGTAAAAGAGTGGTCCACAGCATCCGTAACTGAGATGATAGACCAAAATCAATATTACCATAGTGTTACTCCATTCAAGTCCTATAGCTTTTTCCTTTATGACTTTTTGATTAAAAACGTATTTTTGTCATAATTATAATGCGTCTATTATAAAGAAATGGTATTCTAAAAGTAGCAATAGAACTCTTGAAATTTTTTTTTCGTAAATTTTTTTTTGTGCAATTTAAAGTACTATCAATATAGATAAGATCTGAGAGGTTTCAGATTTTTCCAAATCATATTTCATTATATTTTTTGTGATTTTTTGCAAGATACATAAAATTCCATGTTAATTAAATGGGGAAAAGTAAATGGCTAAATCACGGATTTAAAATGTATCAATCGATTTGAAATTTTGACATGATTTTTTTTTTTTTTTCGAATCAATTGCGGGGGTGCACTCATCGGAATTCTGCCAAAGAGTTTTTTAACGACCCCTCTAATGTTCCCATTTTAATAAAGTTTTTAATTAATGCTTAAAACTTAATAAGTGCTACCTTTTTAAAGAGCTCAGCTTTCGTATAATAAATACCAATCATAAAAATAAAAAAAAAATAAAAATTTTTAAATAGGATTTTGGCCAGNTTTTTAAAAAGGATTTTGGCCAGGTTTATGATAAATTGGAACACTGTGCGCCCGTAAGTCAACAACGAGTGGTCTAAAAAAATGTCATCACCAAAATTATTGTTCTTTTCTTTAATTAAAAAAAAAACTTGTTTTTTGGTTGGGTAGTCCTTTAAGTGGTTGACAATATTATTATTTTAAATACCTATTTGTAATTTTGAATAATTTGTATTTGTACTTATATACCAGGCACATTATGGAATCACATGAGAATTAAACACAATATGGATGGACTTTCTCGTGATAAACCAAAAAAAAGGTAACTATTTTATTTGGGTATATTTATNAGGTAACTATTTTATTTGGGTGTATTTATATTACCAATATGAGCCATAAATTATTTTGATGTATTCAACATATTACATAATTCACAATGTCTATGTAAAAAATAAAAAAAAATTTATGATACATTTAAATTTAAAACTGAATTATGCTGTTAGATCATTAGAAGAGGATGACAATGATAGTGATCAGCAAAATAATAGCATGAATACTGAACCATCAACATCTACATCAGTATCAGAATCTGGAAACTTAGGGGTATTAATGCAGCCAAAGATTACTGAAATGTTCTTTTCGCCGTCTGTATCAGCCAAAAGACAAGAGCAAATTACAGACAGCCTTGTAAAATTTATAGCCAAAGATATGCTGCCACTATCAACAGTGGATGGTGTTGGTTTTATTGAATTTATGAAGAAGATATCACCAAATTATGAAATACCAAGTCGGTTTACAATCAAAAGGAAGATTCAAGGACTATACGAGACAGAAAGACATAAAGTAGCCAATGAAATAAAAAACATAGACTCAATAGCACTAACTACTGACTGTTGGACCAGTAAAGCTATAGAGTCTTATATAACAGTTACGGCACATGGCATTAATAAAAATTGGAAAATGGTCAATTATATTATTACAACTGAATTAATGGATGAGCGACATATCAGTATAAATTTAAAACAAAAATTATTGGATATTATGAAGGAATGGGAAATTGATACAAAAACTATGTGTATTGTGCATGACAATGCGGTAAATATTAAGAATGCCGTTACTGCAATGGCTCCNGCATAACAATGCGGTAAATATTAAGAATGCCGTTACTGAAATGGCTCCAAATATTAAAAGTAGGACATGTTTCGCTCATTCATTGCAGTTATGTGTTAACAAAGGTTTGGAAGAAAATGAAATAAAACAAATTCTAATTACTGCATCTTCAATCGTTTCACATTTCAAACACTCAACAGTAGCAATCAAAGCACTTCAAGTAGCACAGAAAAAATTAAAAATGCCAGAAAAAAAATAATTCAGTCTGTTAAAACTAGATGGAACTCAATTTATGCAATGGTTGAACGACTTATCGAATCTCGACAATGTATAAGCATAGTTTTAAATGACCGTAATACCACAACTAGAACAACAGCAATATCACTGGAACTCAGCGAAAGTAAATGGGAGCTATTGGAGCAGTTAGTTAAAGTGCTCAAGCCTTTCGATCTTGTTACTAAAGTCTTATCATCTGCAACAACTCCAACAATATCAACTGTACATCCAATTTTAAAAAGTATTGTCCAACACTATTTGACTCCCAACGAATCTGACCAACATAAAATTAAAATATTTAAAGAAACATTGTCCCAAGAGTTCGAAGTAAGATTTTTTAGTCAAATGCACAATGATTCTAAATTTCTTCTAAATATTGCTTCACTTTTAGACCCACGTTATAAAAATTTTTTTGATGACGATAGTGATACTTTAATTACCTTAAAAGATTTTATTATGCATCATTTAAATTATGAAGATTCTTCAATTGATGATACTACCAATCAGCCAAACCCTGTAGTATCTGCTTTGGATATTTTATTTCCCCAAAATCATAATGGTGAAGATATAATTGAACAAAATGAGCTCGACAAATACTTAAAAGAAAACTGTATTAACAAGAATGCCTGTCCATTAACATGGTGGGCTGAAAATGACAAGAAATATCCAGTGATATCAAAACTTGCTAAAAAATATTTATGTATCCCGTCAACATCTACGCCCTCAGAGAGAGCTTTTTCTACAGCGGGGAATATTATAACTTCTAAAAGAAATTGTCTGGCTGGTGAAACAGCCAAATGGTTAATATTTCTTTCACATAATGCTAAATTACAATAATTATAAATTAGCATTATGTGAAAGAAATATTAACAATTTTGGTTAAAAATTTTCAAAACTAAAAAAACAATATACTACTTATTTTATTTTATTTTAATATTCTATTTTATTATTTTTGACTTCATTAATAATTTTTTTTAACTTTGACACAAGTATAATATACTATACATATTATGTACGCACATAAAAATTCGTTTTTTTTATATTAATAAAAATAATAAATGCCAACTTGATTCTTTCTAAATTCTAGCTCTTACTGCACAGGTAGATGTCAAATATTGTGAACAACTCGAAAACCCGGGTGTATTTGCTATTAAGGCTCTTATAACAGTCAATTTTCAATTGATCTGAGATCGTAATTCGCATTATTCAGGTTGATAATAATGAAAAAATAGCTGATTATCTCATAAACAAAGAAGCCGGATTGAATCCGAAATCCGAGTCAACGGATTGAATCCGAAATCCGAATTAACGGATTGATCCGAAATCCGGATTGGTCAATATAATGCTCAGCACTACTTTAAACATATATCAAATTGAATCTTCTGTTACGTACTATCTATTAAAATAAAAATGTTGTCCCGACAACTTATCCTTTATGTGAAAACGGCTGCCGTGATTAAAAAATTCTATTTTTGTGTTAAAATTTTGGATTTTAAATTTTCAACTTTAAATTTCTTGAACATTTTGAAAAATGTATACATCAACACAAATTTTTGTTTTTGAACACATATATACATCTTTCATCCGACATACTTAAATTTTGAATATAATGATATTAATGATACAGTACATACTGAAAGATGACATTGATTAATATCATTATCGTTAAACACTTAATTAATAATCGTTTAACACTACAAAATCAAATGTAACTGTGAAAGTTTAAAAAGCAAATATTAGAGGGTGGTTGTTGATTTGCCTAACTTTCTCTTTTATACACCAATAAATTAGGCACACAATTATAAAAAATTTAATTCAGGGAAGTCATTACAAGACAAATCGTTAAAATTTCTAAATATTGCAAATTTTACACAAATTCATATTAATTTCTTGATCTTTAACCACCATTGACTAATAAAAGAAATGTCTAAAGGTCTTATAAAAGCAAAACACACAGTTGAAAAGTTGATTTTAAAAAAGTTTAAAAATTATTTTCAGATGATATGTTGGAATCACCCACATTAAAAAGTAATACCAATAAATAGAATAAACAATATTAGTTCTCTTATGGTGTAGCTATCACGATAGATAAACCAACAACTAATAATTTTTTTAAACATACATTTTAGATATTATCGAATACATCGGTCGCTTAAGTGAAAATTCTCCTGAAGTACTAGGTGTTTATTTAGCGTCTCCGATGGATAACTATATTATGCTGACAAAGATTTTAGTATTCAACATGTGGGAAAATTTGCATAATATGTGAATTTTGCGTTACAAGATGCCATCGGTGTCAATGCTAAAGATGCATTTAGAATGTTGGAGATGGTTTGAGTATGGGTATTAATACATGTCGTAAAAAAGAATTGTATGGTAAAAGTTAATATCCCACTAAAGTTGGTATTAAGGAACGATATAGATACAATGCTTTTGGGATTACGAATTAAGTATGCCACTTGAAATCACTTTTTTCGTTTTTAGAGGGGAGGTTTTGGTTACATATTGTTCTTGAATTATTAGCTATGTAATAATTTTTAAGGTCGTCCTGTCTTAATACAAAACAAAACACCAAAAGAACTGCAGAGAAGGTACGGAGATGATAATGCGTCTGCTGATCGCACTGCAGTCACCGTGATGTCTGACACTCCAGATTGGCTGTGGGTGTCGTTGTTATAAGAATTAAGGTAACAGCTAGTTATGAGGTGCAAACAAATTACAAGACATTAGTTCTTCAAAGAAAAATTTTTTACGTTGTTATGAGTTCATAAATGCACTAACTGACAATACAGAAAGCGTATCTACTGATTTAGTTATAATTGGAAATAAACACTCATTAACATTTAATAGCGACATAATAAAAACCAATTACCTCCTGTATTTGTAATCCCTCATATATTATACAGGTATAACTCAAAAATTAGGAACTTTAAATTTTTATATCTAATAAACGAAAAAAGTTAAAAATTCAAATGTCATTAACAATTAAAATAAATCTCAAATATTTTAATATATTAAAAATATGTATATCCATTTGCAAAAATTAGGTTGTCAACCTTACATGGAAAAAGGAATAAACTTAAAAAGTATTACATAACTAATAATTAAAGTATATAATTTTAGTAGAGTTAACCATGAAAAAAATTTTAAATTATTAGCTTCGATGCGAAGCTGAGAAGGTATTGGTTTTAATATGATGTGTTTTTAGCTTCGATGCGAAGCTGAGAAGGTATTAATTTTACCATGATGTGATTTTTTTTTATTTTTTTTTTTGTGACTGTGAACGCTTAATCTCAGCTCTCGCTGGACCGATTTTGATGAATAATATGTCAAAAGATCACAAATCGTATCTAGTCGAAGACATTACCCTCAAAAATTGAAAAAAATTCCCTCGTTCCCCGTAAACGGGGGAAATCCCCCAAAAAATTACAAATTTAAAAATCGCTAATTTTCGATATTTTTTCAATTTTTTTTACTAAAAACTGCCGTAACTTTTTCAAAAATGAACATATCAATATAATTTTTTTTTATATAGATGCTTGATGTCTTTACCTATCATTTGGTATATTTTTTTTGTAAATCTGACACTTAACCTGCCCACAGGGGGGGATTTAAAATGACAACTTTTTCACAAAAAATTAACTTTTTCAACTTAACTTTTGAAAATGTTCCGGAAGGTCTGACACTTTTATATATATCTTAAATTAAAGCTAATGTAATATACTTTAATTTGAAAAAAAAAAATTTGACCTCTGGACTTGTCTTCGTGGTGAAAGTTGACATCAAAGTTAATAAAAAATTACGATTTTTGTAAAATAATTTTTTTTTATATTTTTAACTTAATAATGCTCTAACTTTTTCAAAAATGAACATATCAATATAATTTTTTTTTATATAGATGCTTGATGTCTTTACTTATCATTTGGTATATTTTTTTTGTAAATCTGACACTTAACCTGCCCACAGGGGGGGATTTAAAATGACAACTTTTTTACAAAAAATTAACTTTTTCAACTTAACTTTTGAAAATGTTCCGGAAAGACTGAAACTTTTATATATATCTTAAATTAAAGCTTATGTAATATAATTTAATTTGAAAAAAAAAAATTTGACCTCTGGACTTGTCTTCATGGTGAAAACCAAATGCTATTTTTGTGTGAAAAATCTCGATTTTATTTTTTACATTTTTAACTTTATAATGCTGTAACTTATTGAAAAATGAACATATCAATATAATTTTTTTTTATATAGATGCTTGATGTCTTTAATTATCATTTGGTATATTTTTTTTGTAAATCTGACCCTTTATCTGCCCACAGGGGGGGATTTAAAATGACAACTTTTTCACAAAAAATTATTTTTTTCAACTTAACTTTTGAAAATGTTCCGGAATATCTGACACTTTTATAAATATCTTAAATTAAATCTAATGTAATATACTTTAAATTGAAAAAAAAAATTTGACCTCTGGAATTGTCTTCATGGTGCAAATAAACATCAAAGTTAAAACCCAGAACAGGGTTGTCGCGGGACAGTGGTGACGTGGCATAGATGGATCAAGTATAATGATATCAGACAGTGATAAAAATCACTATAAACAAAAAAATGCTTCGATGCAAATCTTTTGGTGTTTAATTTTAAAAAATTGATGGATTATTTCAAAAGCTACATGATCTGCTAGTTCCTTATTATTATCCTGATTAAGATAAAGTATGTAGAATGAAAAAGGGATTATTAAAAAAATATTATTTCTTATAAAAAAATTATGTTGATCCATACACGTTTCAATATGTCATAGTATTATAAAGTTACAAATTTAAAAAATAATATCGAGAATTTTTACACAAAAATAGCATACGGTAGCTATTTTCAGCGTGAAGACAAAATAAAGTCCGAAATTTTTTTTTTGCATAATAAAGTAAATTACATTAGCTTTAATTAAAGATATATGTCAGACTTTCTGGTACATATTCAAAATTTAAGTTGAAAAAGTAAATTTTTTGTGAAAAAGTTGTCATTTTGAATCCCCCCTGTGGGCAGGAAAGGGTTAGATATAAAAAAAAAATATACCAAATGATAGTTAAAAACATCATGCATCTACAAAAAAAAATTATATTGATCCATACATCTTTCATAAAGTTATAGCATTATAAAGTTAAAAATATAAAAAAGAATTTTTTTACAAAAATTTTTGTTTTCCCTAACTCTGAGTTTAATCAAATAGGAGTTCAGCTTTACAAAATTTAATTGTGCTGAATTTTGTGGAGTTTAAAAATTTCGGAGAAAAAAGGATAAAGGTGTCATACGAATATGACACCATAATAAATATAATTCCATATTACAACAAAATTATTTTTCGCTAGGAAGAGATACTGAATATTTTTTTTATGTATATAATTTGATTTATGGGTAGTATACAATATAAATAACGCACAGTGTATTTAGTAAGTAAGAAAACAAGTTTCTATTGTTTCAATAATTGACCTGTTTTCTTACTTACTGAACATTCTGTATAGTATATCTTCCAGAACAAAACTCTAGTTACACCTCTATAAGAAAATTATTGATTCAAAATTATTGAAAAATCATGAGCTTTTGACATTCAAAAGCCAGAGAACCCTTGTACACTCATTTGAATGTAAAAATATCTAACGAACTAAAATGTTTATATTGGATACACCCAACCTAACAACAGTCATAGTTCAAGTGGGAAATGTTAATGAATGGGTTAATAATAAATTCATTATTCTTCTTAGAGTATATAGTACTTATTACTTCAGATAGGACAATAACAATCGTAAAGTATATAAAATATTTAAATGTTTAAATACAAGTAG